CACTACAAGAATAAACACTTATAGGGACGAGATCTATAGGGACGACATCTGTCGTCGCTATAGGTTCCCTATAGGGATGACATGTCGTCTCCATAGAGTTGACCAATTTTTATTGACTCTTGAAGCTACAGGGGTGACTTCTTGTTTCAACATGTTAAACGGGAAAAGAAATTGGGTTGGCGCCTTATTGAAACACCTGTAGGGACGACTTCTTGTCCCCATAGCTTTCTATGCCCAAAAAATATTTTTTTTTTAATATATTTAGTTGGAAAACAAAAAAACGACGTCGTTTGTTTATGGTTATAGTGACGATAGGTCGTCCCCATAGGGTTATGATCTGAGAATCCCTTTACCCTTGTCGTCTCCGGTCTCAGATTGTTGCTCATCGATCCATCTCTATTTCTGGTTCGTTCACTCAAGCAAATCTCCATTTTATGTACAGGTTCAATCAAGCTCATGCGCATCTCCATATTTCTATGTTTTTTTGTTCCTTTGTCTCCATCCCTAACTCGTGATTTTCTATGATCGATCACAGTTGCTCTCTCAAGACGCGATTTTCTCACATTGATTAAAAGGTATTTTGTTTTCAGCATTGATAATCTGCTATCCTTGCTCATACTATACTTCACTTGTTGAAATCTTTTGTTTTTCTTAAATCTAGTTGAGAATTTCATATGTTTGCTTAAGAAAATCCATGGTTTTCATCCAATTTTGGGGTTTTATGTTGCCTTATTACAATTTTGGGTTCATTATAATTAGGAGAAGAAGGAACAACTCAATTGGCAATGTTAATTATGCCTTCTATTGAAACTCCTCAGGTAACTTCAAAAATGTTGACTCTACAATAGCCATCAATTAAAGTAGTGTAGGTCACATGATTTGGATTTGTGGCTTTCATTTCTTTGAACATTCTTAATGCTTCCCTCATCTGACCTTGTTTACAGTTCCATAGATCAACGAATTATAGGTTATAATGTCGGGATGAATATTTGATCTGTCCACACCAGCATTTGGTATTCATGGCTTGTGGATCTTTACTGTACTTTTTGCCTGATTACAGTTTTACGTGTTTAGAGATGCATAAACCCAATCTAGGATTGAATCAGGAATAACATTAAACTTATTTACAGCGGTGTGAGAATAC